TGTCCATGGATGTTGGGTTCCATGGTTAAAGAGATCCGTGGGTAATGGATATGGGAATTCTTCTATGGATAGTGATATCCATGAATATGGGGGTTCCATGGATATCTCTGTTGGGGTTCCATGGGGAATGATATCCATGGATATTGGGGTTCGGGGGATATCTCTATTAGGGTACTATGGATAGTGATATCCATGGATTTTGGGGTTCCATAGATTCCATATCCATGGATTTTGGGGGGTCACTTCTCCCTTTCCCGTTCCAGGGTGATCCTGGAGAATCGGGAGCTCCAGGAATCCAAGGAGAGCCTGGAACCAAGGTGAAGACCAATGGGACACCCCCCATCTCCCCCTTGCTTTATCCATCCCATTCCCTCCTGCTCATCCCATCCCATTCCATAGGGACCAAGAGGGGAGCGAGGGGAGAAGGGAGAAGCTGGAGCCGCCGGCCGCCGCCGGCGCCGCTGGACCTCCTGGTGGGAAAGGTCCCCCTGGAGATGATGGACCCAAAGGCAACCCCGTCAGTTGTGGCTCTCTGGGGACACCCATGGGTGGGGTGATGGGTGGGGGGTCCCCGTGGTCACCCCTCATATCCCATTGCAGGGTCCTGTTGGCTTCCCAGGAGATCCTGGACCTCCGGGTGAGATGGGTCCAAGGGTGAGTGGTCGCTCCGGTTGTTCCGGGCTTCTCCCAGCATTGGATGGGGTTTCCCTTGGGAATGGCAATGGGATTTGGGGGGGTTCATCCAGGTTCTTGCTTCCCACCAGGGTCAGGACGGTGCCAAAGGGGAGCGTGGGGAGGATGGAGAACCTGGAGAGCCGGTGAGTGGCCAATCCCACCATCATTCCAGGTGGGAATAGCTCATCCCTATCCCCTGTGAGATTTGGGATGAGGGTCTGGGCGTCACCATGGGATGGGATGGGGAATGATGGGATGTGAGAAGTCCTCCATCAGATCTGGTCCCCATGGTCCCACCTCATTCCTGGGATGAAGACCATCTCCTTTGACTCCTCATCTTCTCCATAGGGTTCCCCAGGTCCAACGGGGGAGAATGGTCCTCCCGGTCCTCTCGGGAAGCGGGTAAGAGCCGGATGATCCCAGTGCATCCCATAGGGATCAACCCGCCATGGACATCCCCATCGCTCATCACTTTGTGTCTCCTCTCCATAGGGTCCAGCAGGTTCTCCTGGTCCTGAAGGACGTCAGGGTGAGAAGGGAGCGAAGGTGAGAGCGTTTGGTGACCCCAAAGTCCATGGTGGGGGATCCCAATGGTGTTCCTGGCATTGGGATCACCCACTTCCTCTGGCTCCATAGGGAGAACCAGGAGCAACAGGTGCTCCAGGCAAGACGGGTCCGGTGGGACCTCAAGGTCTTGGTGGGAAACAGGGTCCTGATGGTCTCAGAGGGCTTCCTGGCTCTGTGGTAAGTGGTGGCACCTTGGGATGAGGGGCATCACCATGGGATGGGGACCAGGACCACCACAGTGGCCAATGGGGCATCACCATGGGATGGGGACCAGGACCACCACAGTGGCCAAAGGGGCATCACCATGGGATGGGGACCAGGACCACCACAGTAGCCAGTGGGCATCACCATGGGATGAGGACCAGGACCACCACAGTAGCCAGTGGGGCCTCACCATGTCTTCTCTTCCCCAGGGAGAACAAGGCAAACCAGGGACCACAGGCCAAGCTGGACCACCAGGACCAGTGGTGAGCATGGGTCCCCTTGCCCCATACAAGGGTTCACCCCCTAACTGATGCTCCCCACATCTCACATGCCCACCTATGGACCTCTTCTAGGGTCCTCCAGGGCTCCCTGGCCTCAAAGGGGACACCGGGGCCAAAGGAGAGAAGGTGAGTTCCATCTACCATGGGTTGAGGACCATGAACCCCACTTCTGGGGGGTCAACACCCGAAACCCCATTGGGTGGATGTAGTTATGGGTCACTCGAGTGTTGTCCTTGGAGGGGTACCCATCATGTCCTCATTGGTGGCCTCCAATGATGACTTCTTGTGTCTCCTCAGGGCCACCCTGGTCTCATTGGCTTGATTGGACCTCCTGGAGAACAGGGGGACAAGGGCGACCGGGGCCTCCCTGGTCCCCAGGGATCTATGGGGCAGAAAGGAGAAACTGTGAGTACTTGTGGGGCAGGAGAATGGGGAGAACATGGAGGTCGATGATGGTGAACATGGGTTGTCCCCATCTCCTCTTATCTCTTCTATAGGGGATCCCTGGTGCTACTGGACCCATTGGCCCCACTGGTCCCCCTGGACTCCCTGTGAGTGCTTCTAGCCCCATATGTCCCCTCATTGTCCTTGTCTTTTCCACCCCACCACTGATAGAGCTGCTCTTGCTCCACAGGGTCCAGCTGGTCCCAAAGGTGCCAAAGGAGCCATGGTAAGAGCCAACGGTGGTGTCTCCATCCACCCATCCCCACCTCCAGCCCTGCCCCACAGCGGCCAATGGGCTTTTCTCTCTAGGGCCAAGCAGGACCCAAAGGAGAACGTGGACCTCCAGGACCCCCCGGCCACCCCGTGAGTGCTCCCAGGGACCATGGGATGGGTTGGATGGACCCTTGGATAGACCATCAGGGGCTTGGGATTCAGTTGGGTGGCCCAAGGTCCATGCGATGGGAGCAGGGACCTGGTTTCGTCCATAGGGTCATGAAGGGGTTGGATGGACCTTCAAGCCCATAGAGGTCTTGGGCTTCAGGTGGATGTCCCAAGGTCCATGTGATGGGAGGAGGGACCTGATTTCACCCCTCATGGAATGCTTTGGGTTGGGATGGACCTTCAAGCCCACCCAGTTCCATGGTCAGGGCCACCTTCCATAGCCCAGGAAGCTCCAAGCTCCATCCAAGCTGGTCTTGGATGCAGAAGAACATCCATGGCGTTGGCTGGAGCAGCGCCCATGGTGCTGATGGACTCATCCCACCACAGGGTCCTCCTGGAGAAGTCATCCAGCCCCTTCCCCTCCAAGTGGCCAAGAAGTCCAAGCGCTCCATTGATGCCAGCGAGCCCATGGATGAGGCTGGGGAGGAGATGGAACGGTGGACAAAAGCCAATACCATGGAGGAGATCTTCGGGTCCCTCCACTCCCTCAAGCAGGAGATCGAAGGCTTGAGGCGCCCAATGGGGACACGGGACAACCCAGCCCGCACGTGCCAGGACCTTCAGCTCAGCCACCCAGGGCTCCCTGATGGTGGGCAGCACCCAATGGTCTTGGGAGGAAGAGGATGGTGGCCCCCTCAATGGCCTTGACCATCATCTTCTCCTTGCTGCAGGTCACTATTGGGTCGATCCCAACCAAGGTTGTGCCCGAGATGCCTTCAAGGTCTTGTGCAGGTTCCGGATGGGAGCAGAGACCTGTGTCTTCCCCAGCAAGGAGGTGAGTGGTGGCCACGCAGGAGGTGGTGGATGAAGGTCCTCAATGCCTCATCCATGGCTCCATCTCCACTTCCAGGTCTGGGATGAGAAGAAGGTGGCCCAAGGACAGTCCAATCAAGCCAAGGAGGACAATAGGGTGAGGACGATGACAGCCCATTCGTGGTGGGGAGGGTGGGTCCTCTTCCAGCCGTTCACCACTCCCATG